AATAACTGTAACCAAATCAACATGCAATATCGTTGACGAAAAGTGACGAGACGAAAATGTAGTTTGCTAAATAAAAACTATGCCAAAATCTCTCTTTACTTTCGTTGACGAAAAATGAGAAGACGAAATATTATCAAAGATAACGTTACATATCTGATAGTCAGTTTTTCTCCCAGCAGTTCCACTTCCGGTGCTGCGGCAGGGCAGCAGCTGTGTGTCTGTGCTGCGCGCGGCGGTACATTTGAATTACACCGGGCGGCGGTACATTTGAATTACACCGGGCAGCGGCACACTGTGAACTGTCAGGAAGACTCGGGTCTAACTCATGGTCTAACTAACCTTATTTAACAGAAAATAAAATGGCAACAACAGGGCTTGGGAGCAGTGGTCGCACTCGCGTTAACCGAATACCCCCCCGTCAGCGCGAGTGAGTGATACATTGTGTACTCGACGGGTAATAATGGATTATGACGGAAATGTTACGATCCTGTCCGTCAAAATGACTGACAACGAAAAAGTCTAAAGCCACCACTGCTTGGGAGAAAGAAACAATGTGATATTTGGGCCCATTTTCGCTACAATGAGGCGGAGAAAAAAAGCGAATGCATTGTTTCATCAGAAGGGAAGCAATGTGGCCATAACACAGCTGGTAAAAACACCACAAACCTGACCAGATACTCTCTGCATAGCTGCATTCTTAATCATTCAACCTGTGTTTTTCATCAAATAAGGACAAGATATAATCTTATTGTGAAATAAGTTTGACTAAAAGGACAAATTATTGGTTTTGGGTAGACTAGTTTGACTGAAATGTTCTATATAATCTGATGACTAAAAAAGATTCAACAGTTTTCATTGACAAAAGGTAGACTAAAATAATTAGTTTTCTTTGACTAAAATAAGACTAAAATGCTCAGACTTTTAGTCGACTAAAACTTGACTAAATAAAAACAGGATGAAGGTGCATTTTAACACAGGACTAAGACTAAAACTAAATAAAAAAATAGCTGACGAAATAAGTAAGTAAGTTACGGCTCCTAACCGTAATAGCATAGCAGATCCAGAGATCCATACTCGTCATGTGCACGAGCATAGCCGCGGCCGGGAAGACATTTTACTTAGGGGGTGTGGCCAAAAGTGGGGAGACATTAACAGTAACATGCTGCAGCCCCTCCTCCAGCTCCCGGCTCCCGTGGCTATATAATGCACGAGTCAACAGCAGACTCAGAGATTCGCAAATCCTGACTCACTGTGCAAAACACAGCAGACTCGTGCGGACTCAGAGCTGTAACCATATAGCAGCAGATCCAGAGATCCAGCAGACTTGTCATCATGCAGGAGTCAACAGCAGACTGAGATTCGCAAAATCGCAAAATGACCCTTTTTTTTGTGATCAACGTGTTTTATTAAAGCGAAAGACACGACTTTACACACATTTAACACATACCAGTATTGCAATGATTACGCAGTCCATGAGAAAATAGGGGGGGCATATGATTAGATCTACATACACACTGTTTTCATGACCCAAATATGTATATATGTTCATTTTAATTAATTTCTTATTTTTCATAGTTATTTTATCATGGGTGAAGATATGCTTGATTTTTTTGTGTGTGCATTTAAGAAAATAAGTGTTTTGTACGGAGCCCTGGAAGGTTCATAGAGAGAAAAATAAATAAAACGTGGCCACGTTTTACTTTCTCGTGCGCACGCTTTAGTAACTCGTGCGCACGAGTTACTTTCTCGTGCGCACGAGTTACTAAAGCGTGCACACGAGTTAATAAAGCGTGGCCTCGTTTTATTTAAATTGAGGGATTCCTGTGTGACTCACAGTATCTGCTGCCCACAGCTGTTTTATAGAAGGAAAACCTCCTTCACTTTATGAAATCTCTGCGGCACCAGTGGCCTGTACTACGAAGCAGGATTTGCTATTTACACTATTCATTCATGAAGTATGACGCTGCGCTGTCAGCACGCGTCTCCATGTTTGTGATTGGTCAAATGTTGCTAACCCCGTCCCTTTCACGTGAACGCGCTCTCAGCCGGACAGAGAAACCCTGGTTGATTTACTGAGTTGATAACCAGCTTCGTAGGACCGCTTATCGACATCGCGTTTGTTAGGGTTAGTTAAGCTGGGTAAATCGAACATGTCCAGGTCCAGGGTCTGTTGAACTGGCTTCGTCGTACAGGGCACTGGAGGCAGTAACGTGTAACTCAGCAGAATCTGAGAAGAGCAGCACCAGCTGCAAAGAGCTGTGCCTTTTACTGTTTACTTCACTGCGTGTCCCTTCATTAGAACCGCTGAATAGAGATCGAGGCTGCTACGTTTAACCACACACACATCGAACTACCAGAGTATTCTCCCTCATTTTATGAAGGAGATGTCCTGTCACCGGGGCGCATGATGTGTGTGTGTGTGTGCGCTCAGCTCCGCTCTGTGTGCGTGTTCGTGTGTATCCGACACCACCGGCATTTGTTTTCAAATTACCACGAACAGTACTTTAAACAAATCTGGTTCCCCATAGTTAAGTGTATTCCCAAGTGAAAGAAATGTGTTTAATCTTAATCTCGATGTGCTATAGTCCTGCCGGAGTGCACCGGAACGAACGATACTATCATAAACAAATGCCCCCCCCCCCACACACACAAAACGCACGCTTTAGTAACTCGTGCGCACGCTTTATTAACTCGTGCGCACGCTTTAGTAACTCGTGTGCACGCTTTAGTAACTCGTGCGCACGCTTTAGTAACTCGTGCGCACGAGTTACTAAAGCGTGCGCACGAGAAAGTAAAACGTGGTCACGTTTTATTTATTTTTCTCTCTATGAACCCTCCAGGGCTCCGTAGTTTTGCATTATATGTATATAGTTATTTTAATATGTTCCTGTATAAGCAAATGTTGCACAATTGTGTTTTAATAATAATTGTATAATTAAGACATTTTATATATTTTAACTGTTTTGCAATTTTCTATCATTTGTTTCTTTTTGTGTGCTATGTTGAAAATAAACGTTTTGCCAAATAAGATCCGTATTGGAAATGCAGCTATTACACGCAGGAGACTGTTGCACAACATGACAATATGTTCTGTTTTATCGTTAATGTCCTGTAACATAATGTTCCTGTGCCAGAATAATGCACTTGAACGCATCAAAGCTTTGTGATTGGCCGGCGTGACCCCATGTGTCGGGGCGTGGCTGGTGGGCAGTGGGCACTATTTCGCTGACGTTGTCCGTGTCAACAGGAGTGACAGTCCGCACACACATAAGACCGCAATTATGGCAGAAGCAAAAAAGCCCAAAATATATAATTTTCACTCCGAGTGGGAGGATGATTATTTTTGTATCTATTCCAATTCAAAGTCCATCTGTCTCATCTGCACTGCGAGCGTGGCTTTATCGAAGAAGGGTAATTTAGGAGCGGCATTTCAAAACAGTGCACAAACGCTACGAGACGGAATTCCCTCCTAATTCGGCCCTACGCTCCCAAAAGGGGAGGGGCCTGAAAGGACAGCTAAATGCACAGCAGTCCATTTTCACCAGGCCCAACAACAAGAGCAAGGCTGCTACCATAGCATCTTATCGTGTCAGTCACGTTCTTGCGAAACACATGAAGTCTTTCAAAGACGGCGAAGTTGTGAAAGAAGCTTTCCTGGAGGCTGCTGACACGCCTTTTGGGGACACTAAAAATAACAGTAGCATTTCAACAGGTTTTTGATATAATAAAAACTCAAGTTAGATACCGTTATTAATCAGCTGTAAATTTGTGTTTGTTTGAACTTATTCATTATAATTATTATACAAAATGGTATAAGAATGCAAACATTAAGATCTGTTCTGTTTAAATTGATTATAGTCTATTATCAATTCAGGTTAAGAAACTAGTGCTGCTTGTATCCCATTTAAAAAAAGGCATTTTATTTTATACTCTACTAGAATGCAACAAAAAAATGGTTTGATTCTATTAATGTTGTCTTTTTTATTGCACTGTTGCAGCAGATTCCTGTGTAGCTTCAGATCTGAGTTGTCTTATTAGTAAACCTAATTTATACTTTTGTAGCAACACTATTTTTATATAATGGCAAAGAAAGGGTTGAGAGTATTTTGTTTTTTTCCTGTGTCATAGCAGCACTGTTCAATGTTTCTTGAAAACATTACCCACTGTAGTATGTGACGTGTGAATAAACTCCAACTGTATCAACAACACTGTTGTGTAACTTCAGTTAAATACTTGTATGTGTGTAGATTAAAAAGAGGTAAGATAAAGGATCTGCAGTATTTTATGAAGTATTAATCGTACAAAGTTCAGTTTTATACAAGTAGAAGTGTGTATTTACCTGGTAGTAGGCTGTCAGTAATAGCTACGACTCTCTATTTGGACTGGTAGATCTCGGCAGACAGGCAACTTTAAAAGTAGCTCTCGGTTCAAAAAAGGTTGGGCACCCCTGCCATAGAGTAAGCACTTTTATTTTGAAGGCAGTTTTTCCAGGCCGCTACCGTAATGCATAGGATATTCGCGCACCGCAAAACAACGCGGATGCTGGCTTGACTGTGTTTTCCGAAGTGGAGGCTGGCTTGACCGCAGTGTATTACTTTACATTCATACACTATTATTCATTAAAACTGTTTGTGTTGAAATGTATGTTACAATTTAAAGTTTTTCTACCGATTATTGGATACTTGTGCAGCAAACACCTTGTTAAAACTGTAAATGTCTATGGTTAAACAGGTCTCACATGAACACAGTGAGCACAGCTTTTAATAGGGAGCATGTTGCTGAGAGAACAATGAGGTGTTGCACGTAAAACAACACTGTTCACACTAATCTGTGCAGTTTGCTTAAACGTTACTGTCAGTATCTTTGTCCTCAAGTGTCAACCATAGGCAAACAATGCAACACTGCCTTGTCAAAACAGACGGAGGAGAATATTATGAGTAGCTGGATAAAGCACAAGGTGTCCGAATTAAATGCAAAATTAAGATTTCAAGAAGTCTTACCTCTTAGTTTTTAGATCTTTCAACAAGCCCAGACAGCCTCGAGTGTTATATAAAAAGAGGAAATGGCACATTGACGCTAGCTAGCCGCTGTTTTAAGTAGTAACATGAGATACAGTGCAGCTACAGAGTCAGCCATGCTGACCGCCATTGTTCTCAACATGTCATGAGAGAGAGTGAACTGAGACTACGCCCTTTATACAAAAACTGTATTTATCTTGTTTATCCATGTCGGTGCACCTGACTTTCAGACATGGCCACTAGCTTCCAACAATCATTGCGCAATGTCAACTTGTCAAGCTAACCTCAATTAAACAGCTCACACAAGAAAACATTTCAAAATAAAACCTTTACTCTTGGCCGGCGAAAGCTCTTAGCGTAAAGTGAAAGTCGTGCAGTAGTTTAAACTCATTTAATTTAATGAACCGGTCTGAACATGTTAAGATTAGAGGTTGTATATATTTTCAAGATTTGTATTTTTTTTATTAAGTTAGAACCTTTGGCCGCAATAAAAAATAAAAGCTTTTATTTTACAAGATACAATCGCTGCGTTTCCGGTGAGGCAAGGCACATTTATTTATATAGCCCCTTTCAACACAAGGCAATTCAAAGTGCTTTACAAAAATTAAATTAAGAGCATCAAGAAACATATTATAAAATTATATCTAGAGACACTCATTTAAAAGCAATGATATAAAATGACATTTAAAAACACTCATTTGAAAGCAAAGGTAAAAAGCAGAGACTCTTCGCAACTTTCCGAAGCTGCATACCATGTGTTACCTTCCAAGTTAACCATTTGTAAGTGTGTTTGATGTAATTTAAAAATAATGCAATTTTTGATTTCATAAAAAAATGTGACGCTTATTTGAAAAACAACTGGAACAATTTAAAATAGACTCTATGTTGTAGTCAATGTTGACCAATGACCACCATGTAGGGCATTGACCTCTCATTATTTCCAATAAATGTTTATTAATGGGCAATAAATCCATGGGTCAACGTTTCAATGTACATCGATCTTATACTGGGCAGAATGGTTTAAAATGAACTACCACACAGCTCCAGAACTGAAACGTTTGAACAGGTTAACCGTTAAGGTCTTTCAAATAAATAGAGACTAGACTTTCATGTGCTCCTTTATTAGTATTCCAGATACTGTGAAGATACTTTGCAATTATTAAGGCATATACTTTGAATGTAAATATACAGTGCTAGAGTGCATAGAAAAGTTAAAATAAAAAGTTAAGAATGCAAAAATAAAGAACCCCCCTGGACTTCAACAACAAAACCACATGCACAGGGCATAGCATCTAACACAGGCATGGCCAAACTAAGGCCCGCGGGCCATATACGGCCCGTTGGGCTTTTTAATCGGGCCCGCCGAATATTGGTACAAAATGGTCCAAATTGTAGTAAAGACCGAATTCATTTTGCCTTTTTTCTGCAATACCCGGCATTTCAGTTGATCCCACTAGCGCACTCTAGACACAATATACCTTTGCTGGAGTCTGGTCTATTCAGCTGGCCCCACTCGGCAAACCGGCAAGATCTAAGAACCAAATACGTCACGCTTACATTGGAGGGGGTCGAGATTAACCTGAGCAATAACAGTTCATGGCGAGTACAGCGAATACAAGTTGTAACAAGCAGTAGCGCTGAGCAAAGTGACTAGAACGCGACCACACACTTATATAAAGTCAGGCAACACTAACCAGGCTTAGTGTGATTGTTTATTTGACCTTACTTTAATGACCATCCATTCACTGTTATTGACCATTGTGAAGAGGCAGACGTTTTCCTGTTGTTTTGTATTATTGCAGCAGCTATCGGATGGAATCAATACATGGGCTATGTGGCCATCACAAGTAAAATCATAACAAAAACTACGCCGGTAAAATATGCGTGTAGAAAACGGCTTATGCCACAATATGATAGCAAGTAGTCAAGATAGTCTGATTAGCTTTGGTTGCTATGCTAACATCCCCTGTAGAATGCCAGATACACTTTCATAACAGTGTTGTGAGGCCAAACGGTGTAAATTCATACCGAAACACATTCACTGATGGGGATGGGGGATATTTATCAGCTGCTAGTGTGACAGTCAGACAGTGAATACTTTACAACGGCCGCTGCCGTGAGTTAACGGGAGAATAAACTCCGGTGGAAGAGCAGCGCTGCAGCCAGAACCGGCCCTACCCAATAAGCGACATAAGCGGCTGATTAGGGCCCCGCAGCCACTAGGGGCCCCATAGCAAAAACATTTGATTTATTTTTAGTTGATACTCATAATGTTCCCCTCCACGAACATCTTTAGTAAAAGGCGAAAGATGTATTGTTCTGAAGAGAAATAAGAGTGTAATTCCATAGCAAACATTTTAAGCATGAAAAATAATCTCAGTACACTGTCGCCGTGATAAGTGTTTAATTAATTTTGTTAATATGCCTATATTGCCTACTCTCAAAATCATCATCGTCATCATGCATTGATTGTATTGACTGGCACTGCTACTGCTGCACTGGCGCTGCGCTAGTGAGTGAGTGAGGCAAGGCCGTAACCATGGAGTCAACATTGGGGGGGGGACCAAAAATGAAATCAACATTTGAATACTAATTTCCTGCCATTCTAAAGGAAAATATATAAAAAATTCACTAACAAATGGGATACTTTTAAATGTTTGTCTAATAATGTCTAATAGTGCATTGTATTACATTGCTCTATTTCATAGAAGTATTTTTTTAATATCAGTTAGGTTATATGGGGGGGGGGGACATTCACATTAACATACTACATTAACATTCAAGTGTATTAACATACACTTGAATAAAGTAGTCATATTTAATACTTGGTCACAGTCTGCACTTTAACCTCATAGTCATTAGTGTGAATGCTGTTTACAGCATTCCACTATAGTTCTTCAAATCTTTATCAGTGTGAATGCTGTTTCCAGCATTCCACTATAGTGCTTCAAATCTTTATTAGTGCGAATGCTGTTTACAGCATTCCACTATAGTACTTCAAATCTTTAATCCCCTTAAACTTATTTCAGTCAATACTTTGGCTCTCCATAACTTCAGCTTATTTTCAACAACAGAAACCATTCAAATATTAAACTATTCAGCCTGTTCAGGAATCGATGGGAAACCTTCAACTTTTAAAAAATATTTCATACTTTTTGAAATATTCAGCTTTTTAAACTCTTTTTTTTTTAACATTGAAGTCAATGGGAGATGCCTTCAAATCCTGTTTTCCTACACCTTGCGCCAAATGCTACTCCTTCCACATACTTTCAGCTAGACACTTCATTCCAACTTTCAAATGACCACAAGGCCTTCAGCTATTCAAACTTGACTTTTATTTTTGATATCTTTTACACTTTTTGAGATATTGAATTTAGTTTGGAGCTTGGTAGAGAGGCCTTTTTCAGATTTTAACATTAGAGTGGATGGAGCAGCTCGTTAACTCTAGAATGATTTGATATCAAAACAGAGTGGAGCAGTGCTTGAAATTCTCCCCCAAAAATATTTTAAACTTGCCATAATTCCCAAACCATACACTCCTCAGACATATTTTTTCATGAAAAACGTAGGAAAACCTCTCCTAGGTTGGAAAATTAAAAAAAATTAAGAAAAAAATATCAAACAAAATGCCTCTTCAGGGCATAAAGTGACAAAAAGTCCAGCTAGCTCCCAATTGAGTCCCATGTTAAATTGTTCCAGATCTTTCTTCAGAGCAGAGAGAAGTACACTTTAGACAAACTGCTCCCATCTCCACATTTTACACACAAAACCCAAAAAAACAACATATTTCAGTTCATTGGGGTTCCCTGATGCTCACGGTCTGGCCATTTGTTTATAAGAGCCATAGTTTTTTAACAGGTGGCACAATTGTCAGATATAATCCCCAATGCATTCTTATGGGACTCAGTGCTGCAGATGGTTGTCATGGTGTTGCTGGGCAGATTGGAGCCACACACACGTGAGTCACATCATCCAATCAGAGCATACATCATGGAAACGTTTGATCTCTGGGTTTACACACACAGGTGTTTGTAAACATTCAATCACTACTACTTACATTTAATATCTTTATTTAACTCCTTCAGCCTAATTTCAGCTGCAGGAACCATTCAAATATCAAACTATTCAGCCTTTTCAACACATGATGGGAAACTTTCAACTTTTTCTAAATATGTTGTACTTTTTAAAATATTCAGCTTTCGTACGTTGTAATACATTTTGTACATTTTCGTTAAATAATACGGATACATATGTGACGCTAACTAGCTAGCTGGACGTACTGCACTGTTGTTTACACTTATTTTTTAATTCAATTCAGAAGTTTATTAAAGTCATACAGAGATCTTGGCTCCGTTATAGATAAGTTATACTTCATATTACATACATAGACCAAAGTGAAAATATTTAGACCGGTATAGCCTACAGTACGGTGGGATTTATAAAATGCTACCCTGACGTCTGCTGTTAGCTTTATTTATTTTTCTGACATGTTCCAATGTTTTACTGTTTATTAAACTTTGGGACAAAATTACAACCTTTTTATTCAGCTCATGCTGCTTTGAGGTAGGGCTAAAAGAAAAGCCTATTTTAAATATTTCCACCAGATTTGATCATCTTTTATTTAGGGTAAAGTTTATTTAATTTATCCTAATCCCATAATAATAAGACAATCAAAAATAGACAGCAGCCTTTTGCTTGATGTTAGTTTGTGCTGTCAAAGGGATTACATTACATTGCATTTAGCTGATGCTTTTATCCAAAGCGACTTACAATAAGTACATTCGACCAGGAAGACACAACCTTGAATAAAACAGAATCATATAAGTACATCAGGTTTCATAGAGCCAAACATTTCAAGTGCTACTCAACTGGCTATAGATAAGCCAGTCCTTTATTAGTATATAAGTGCTTTGTTAATAATTCTATCGCTCGAAGTAGAGTCGAAAGAGATGAGTTTTCAGTCTGCGCCGGAAAATGTGCAAGCTATCTGCTGTCCTGATGTCAATGGGGAGCTCATTCCACCATCTTGGAGCCAGGATAGCAAACCAGTGACGTGCGGTGAGGTTCATGGCTGGTGAGGTACTGACTCTTTCAGAGTCAGATTTACAAATATTATATTCTGACCTTAATCGAAATATTCTGTTATTTTCAAAAGCTTTTTTGGTCTGATGTTTCGATTCATTTTAAACAGACCGTTCAACAAAAGGATACCCACAATCTAAATATTGGATTGTTCTTTCTTAGTAAG